TGACTTTTTAAAAAACTCTGATATTTTAAGGTGAGACCAGATTGAAAATTACGTTTTTTCGATTTTAAGTCGAAATAAGATCTCCTTAATATTTACAGATTACTCGGGGAAATAAGATAAATTTCGTAAAAAAAATAATTTTATAAGAAAAAACAAAAAAAACCCCAAAAACTTGAATATTTCGACTCTTCATATACTGTGTTTGGGAAATAAGACCGATTACGACAAAAGGTTTTTTTTTTGTTTTAAGAAAAGAAATAAAACAAACTCAAAAATTTGAAAATTTGAAATTTTCACATAAGTTCTGTGGTTAAGTGAAAGAGAAGTAAATGTAAAAGTTGTTGTTCTTTTGATTACCTACAATTTTGTCATACAACTTCTTTGATTGAGTTCAACCACTTTTAACCCTTCACAATTCTACTTTGTCCTTCCTTTACCTCCTGCCGAACTCAGTACGCTCGTCAATTATTTTTCATTTAATTTCTGATGTTTTATCTTTCGTCTCTAATGCGCTTCATCTTATTGTAGTTGTTTTTGTTTCATTTTTGATTTGCGAAAATAACATCTTGTTACTAAAAATATGCGCAATCATCAAAAATTATCAAATGAAACGAAATATGCCAAATGTGCTCGTTAAGCAAAAACAATTTTCTGCCATTTATTTACGTATAATATGACCCGATATTTATTATAGTAAGAAAATAAAGAAGAAGAAGTAAGAAAAATATTGTGTACCAATTTTGAGAAAAATATGCGCTGAAGTATGAACAAAATTTGATGTTTGAGGAAGAATGATATTTTTTCTAACATGTATATTATTAAAATTATTTTTTTTTGTAAAATTTGCTTGCAAATTAAATATAATTTTTTATTAAAATTTAATATTTTTTCTGTCTACTAATGAAAAACGACTTAGTAAAATCATTATTGAATTGCAAAATTTTCTCTTTCTCCCTTCGCCAGGTGGCCTTGGGCAACTCGGYATAGAGTGCGCCAAACTTTTGCGCGCTCAATATGGCCCWGAGAGCGTTGTACTCTCAGATATCATTAAACCAAGCAAGGAGGTTATAGAAAGCGGTCCCTACATATTTGCTGACATTTTAGACTTCAAGGGTCTGCAAAAGATTGTCGTTGATAATCGCATCGATTGGCTGATACATTTCTCCGCATTGTTGAGCGCGATCGGTGAACAAAATGTACCACTGGCGGTGCGGTAAGTATTGCGTTTACATACTAGGTATATTCATTTTATAAATCAACAAGTAAGGAAGGCTATGTTTGGATGTAAACAAATATTTTATACTCTTGTAATTTGTAAGAATCRAAAGCAGGGAAATCTCTAAAGATGTAAAATGTCAGAGAATCGGAATCCAAGCAATTATATATACTATACTTGTATATACTGTGACAAAAGGGCACCCGGAAATTGTAATTAAATTCCCCGGGTATTTGATATATTATGAGCCTAATGGATACAAATAGCTAATAAAGAATTTGTCTCAAATTTTGTACTTTTATCCAAATTTCGTGTRGGAAATCGTTTTATCAAACACAGAAGCTTACGAGTAGTACAAAGCCTTCAAAGACGGTCGAGAGATCGTTGAAGAGATTTTCTGGACGACCTTCGATCTGTTCAACTGTTAAAAATATTAAAAAAGTGAAGGATATGGTGCTTRACAATTCCCAGGCATGTGTTAGAGAAATGATAAGAGAGCCGATATCTCTCGCTAGTCCGTTCGATATGGAATGTGTTTTTGCCCAACTGGTCGCGATAAAGCTGAATTTTTTTTTCAAAGAATTGAATTGGGACATCTAGTGGGGATTACTTTGAATGCKACAAGATAAATATCGATAAATAATTAAATATTCTGTGTTTTATTAACAATTCCCGCTTACATTTTTGTCTCAATGTACATACATACATATATACCAAGTTTCATTACGATGTCTCAATTTTTACTCAAGTTAGAGCTTSCACGGATGGAYGGACAGACAGACAGTCACTCGGATTTCAACTCTTCTTATCATCCTGRTCATTTATAAATATATATAACCCTAAATATCTAACTCGATTAGTTTCAGGTGATACAACTGTTCAGTGAATTAAACTATTATACTCTGTAGCAACAGTTTCTGGGTTTCCATTAAACCCTAGCGTCCATGTGTTTTTGTTTTACTTTGTGGCATTAGTTCTTTTCATTCATTTTCATCGCCTGCACGTTCAYTTTCTATCATAACTGAGGAAGACTTTCACTTAAACACGCAAAGTGATTACAAAATAACTGTACAAAGTAATAGCGTGATATCAACAATAACATTTTTGTGCCTTGCTTCCCCATACGGTTTTAATTTATTTATTTCTGAATTATTTCAGCGTCAACATCGAGGGTGTGCATAATGTCATCGAACTGGCGAAACAGTACAATTTACGCATTTTTGTGCCAAGCACAATTGGCGCATTCGGCCCAGACAGTCCGCGCAATCCAACTCCAAATGTAACAGTGAGTATTTGCAACATTTATTACGAGTATGTGTCRTGTGCAGCATAGCTGAGTGTAGTGCATTAAAAATTTACTGCAATTGCCCTTGCATTATCAGTAAATATTTATGGTATTAAAAAATTATCAAAAAAATTATTTTTTTGTTTTATTTAATTTTCTAACAACTCTGGAATATTGCCCAAAATTCTCAAATTGATTTGAGTAAAAGTTTTAGAGGTCCAGTCTTGAAAAGTTGCGCCCACGATGTCAGCTACAAGATCTTKAATGAAGATATTTTTGTTTAGCTTTAATTAATAAAAAAAAAAATTTGTATTTATTATGTAATCTGATTATTCGTTTTTTTGTATTTCCTTCGTTCAATACCTAGATTTTGGTCTTAACTAAAGCACAGATTTTTTTTTWAWTTTTAATGATTTTCTAACAAGTTCTGGTCCGATCTGAAAACTTTTTCGGTGATTTTGCTGTTGCTTTGGACAATACTACATGCCAAATTTGATGTAAATATCTCCTCAAGTAAAAAGTTTTTTCATATAACAGCTCGATTTTTATCCTTCAGTTTGTATGTTAGCTATATGGCATACTAGTCCGTTCTAAACAAAATTCTTCGGATCTTGTATCGATGCCTTAAACAATTCTTTATGCCAAAATTTTTKAAAATATCAAAATAATAAATATTCAAATAAAAAAGTTTCTTTTACAAGGTCTTGATTTTGATCGTCCAGTTTGTATTCAATGTATAATTATGCTAGTTAGTTAATTACTTAAGTTTTTATTTTCAATTCCTATACAACTAACTCCGTTTTATATAACAAATGTAGATTCAACGTCCGCGCACAATGTATGGCGTCTCGAAAGTGCATGCCGAACTCATGGGCGAATATTATTACCATAAATTTGGCTTGGATTTTAGATGCTTGCGTTTCCCCGGTGTTATTTCMAGCGATCCACCAGGCGGTGGTACTACTGGTGAGTACTTTTGAGAAATTTGCATATTTTTGAAATACAAATTTTTCCAGTGAATGAAAATAAACTTTAATAAAATGCGATTTGGCTCGTCATCACAATAAATTTCAATTATCAAGGAGTAATGCAAACAAAATCACAATTTTCAAAACAATAATGAAAATGTGATTATTGCAATAATAAAAATATGATTATTGCGATTATTGTTTTCACTTTATTAAATGTGCAATTTATGTGCGCAAAAGCGTTGCTATTTCCAATAATTGAGTAGTGAATAAAGGCCAAAAACACTGGAGCGTACAYAATGCTTTGCTGCAGATATGGTGAATCCAATAATTCAGAACGTAATGAGTTTAACCCAACTTTTCTTATTTTTCGTAGATTACGCTGTCGCCATTTTCCACGAAGCACTGCGCAGCGGCAAGTACACCTGCTACTTGCGTCCAGACACACGTCTGCCAATGATGTATATAGAAGACTGTCTGCGGTGAGTTTAAAAATCTGTACATAGCCACTAATGGTTTAAAACGCTATTGAAATATATTAATTTCTATTGAAATATATTTTGCTAATTGCCACCAACTTTGCAGTGCCTTACTGGAATTTATGCGCGCACCATCGGTAAATCTGAAACGGCGTGTCTATAATGTAACGGCTATGTCTTTTACACCGGAAGAACTGGTCGATGAATTAAGTAGTTATGTGTCCAATTTGCACGTGACTTACAAGCCAGATAGTCGACAGGATATTGCCGATTCATGGCCACAAGTCTTTGACGATTCTGAGGCGCGCCGCGACTGGGGTTGGCAGCATAAATAYGAYTTGAAGAACTTGGTTAGTTTTATGGTGAAGGATGTGCGTGAAAACTTTATTAAGCTRGAAGATGACAAAGTGCGTGCTTCTTTGACGTGAATGCTTTAACCAAACAATTCTTAAWACTTGCTCAGAAATGTTAGATTACAATATTATGAGAAATATTTAGCGTTACTTTTTTCGGTTGAGGCTATACAATCRTTACAAAAACAAATTGCTCTGTAGCTTTTAATTGTTCACTTAATTGACAATTATKTTGTCAATAGATATTTAATTAACATTTATTAAAAAATTACCAAAATATTTTTCGCCACAATATTTTATTCATTTTACCAAAACCTTTTCACACTAAAATATTAAATTTAGTATATTTAGCGAATTAACGGCAGTGTTTAGATTTTGTTTACAATTTCCAAGCAGTTGTACGCTTCTGCTTCTTTTCATATCCAAAGTATTACGTCACAAGTTGGTGTTTGGCGTAATCTTGTATTCTATCATTCTCAAACTTGGCATTTATTATATATAAATATTTTTTAAAATACTTAGTATTATGAAGTTAAACTTTAATATTAATAAGTCTCTTAAAGCTGTACATAATTAATTTTCTGGATTAATTTAGTTTAATAAAGAGCATACATCATTTTAAAAATAATTAATCATAGTCTTTAGATTTCATGGAGCGTATAATCATTTTAGAATTTTAAATGATAGTCTTAAAATCATCAGTAGTTCATTTCTAAAAATTATTWACCTCGACARCTGTACAAAATTTTAATGCATTAATTAGCGGTTCACTACCAAAAATGGTTGCAAACCTTACAAAAATTCTTATAGACTCATTAATATGCTCCTCTCCACGGAAATCTTTAGTAAAAGGCGAAAGATTTATTCGACAACTGAAGAGAAGCCAGAGTACTTTCAACATAGCTGCAAAAAAGTATTTCTTTTCGCCTATTGATAAACCATATGCGAAGTATAACGCAAAATACAAGTTAACGAAATCGCATCCTTTTCAAGCGCAGCGAAAGGGGCATTAATTGCATTAATTGCCAGGTATGCAGAGGTATGCACATTCGTGTGTACGTTTGTAACATTACTAAAATGCATTAAGTAAAGTTTTAGTAAACAAGAAGCTGTGCATTATATTTGACTAATTCAGGTCGAAAAACAACGAAAGCAAAAACAAGAAATTTACCTGGATAGTAATGCACTGGTACATGGTAAATACATATGTATGTACTTATGTACGTATGTATACTTTATACCTGGCATTGTAATATTTTTAACAAGATAATTGTTGTTTTTCGCCAAAGCGATTTTAATGAAGCTCCTAGTACATTAAAAATTAATTGACACTTACCCAGGTGTTGAAGATTTTATAATTATTATGTGATCTTCGCATATGTTGGGGATATGAAACAATGAGAATRAGCAGCCACCAGTTGTTGTCGTAGTAGCGACAGAATTCTGCCATCAGTCGGYGGCAGCGCTTCCGAAGTAGCAAAGAAGCTTATTGCATGAATTTGTCTATATATCGATATCGATATCGATACTTTGATGTTCCAAAAAATATTAAATAAATATAAACTTTAATTATTGGGTATGGTAAAGTATCATTTACGTATATACATACCTCTTTATAGTTGTGGCAGGGAAACTCTAAGCAAGACCTTGACCTCGCTTTTTTAGGTTATTTTTCCGCATAATTTATGAATAAAATACACTTCTTCAATAAAGTTAAATAAATATACATATACTTAAAATATTTAGTATGGTAAAGTTTTATTTGAAATATACCTATTTAGAGTTGTAGCAGCGAAAATTTAAGCAAGCGTTGTCCTTGGTATACTTGCTGCTTTTTACTCGTACATTTTCCAATAAWGTGCATTTTGCAGGTATTTATTATATGTACATGCATTTGCACGATTTTATAAACAACTTGCTGGCAGAAATTAATTTAGAGAATTATTCGTAAGGCACACAATGATAATAAGCTTCGACTTTTAAGGCCTAGGAAATCATTATTGGAAAGTAAAGTTAAAATGGCGACAAATATTTTCAATAGACAGCGTTGCATTCATGTTGACAGTTTAGAAAAAATTGGAAATAATATTATTTGTATTATCAAATTTCAATTATCTTTTTTAACTTTTTAAAAGCGTATTCAATTTAACCATAGGAACAGGAATTATTCAAATAAATTTRTGCACTTAATTGCTTCCGTAGTAATTGATATTGATTATTGCCGACAGATGCTGCTGTAAAACATAGTATTCTGGTGGTATTTATTATTCGTCAAACATGCTTATTATTTGCAAAATGAACTTGATATTTAKTATAGAGATTTATATTAAATAACACACTTTAATTATTAAACGTATATTAACTTTATGGGTAAATCTGTAAGCAATATAACTTCAAGAGTCARCATTTTTTTCTATAAGTGGCACTATTCCATAATTTTCCAGTCGGTTTGTGAATTTAGTTTTTGTACTTGAARGCAACTCTGCGCCTGGAAGCTGTCAATTTACAGTTCCGCGTAAATTTCCGCGTCCGTAGTGGCTTATTRAGACGAACTTGTGAAAATTGTGTTCAAAAGTGTAAATTTTTAAGTAATTTATAGTAAATGTTATCATTAAAAGTATTGTGCTTCGTAATTGAATGAAATATTGTCCTTAGCATAATGTTTAGTGTATTTTCACAGCAAATGCAAAGCGGCGTAAAAGTCGTCTCATGTATGGACATGCAGATGCATGGATGTGTACGTGGAAACTTTGTTAAATGTATAAATATGCACAAATACTGGCTAGGCATTGCTGTTTAATTAATACAGTGGCGCTATAAATGTTCTTACGAATTGTGGTAAGTAAAATATAGCATTTATTATTCAGTAAAAATTTAAGTGCAATAAATTGGGCAAGCTGACTGCATTTTGTTGTTTGAGTAGATGTGGAAGTGTTACAACCGACGTAGCGCCATCTGTTGGCGCTATCACAAATGTTGTTTATGCCACAGTGTACGCTTTTGCCACTTGCGGTCACAGGAAATTATGAGTAATTGCAACACATTCACAATAATTTCAAGTACTATAAAATATTTCCGTCGTAATTGATATCGATTTTTTCGACAGATGTCGCCTTAAAATATTGTAAATTGCATTGTATTATTCATATAATAATATAATATAACACAACATTTCGAAGTTAAAGTATAATTAATATTTTGACAGTTCTTATTTATCTTCATTTATTTCCATGTCTCCATGACTTTCCAGCCAATTCGGAATACCACTATTATTGTACTTTGTGTTTAAAAGCAACTCTGCGCCTGGAATTTCCGCGGATTTTGTAGCAGTTCCGCGTAAATGTTCGCGTCGGTAGCAGTAAAATAAGTTTAATTTAAGAAAATTGTGTTAAAAAATGCATAGTTATAGTGAGTTATGATGAAACTAGTCAGTGTATGTGTTGTGTTTCATAATTAAATGAAGTAGTGGCTTGTTACTTTGTGTTTGGTGTATTTTTTTTACAGGAATCACAGTTCAGCGCAGGAGTTGTTCTTTACTTGAGCGCTTGCAGGTACATATATATATAAATAAATTCAAAAGCATTGGGTATAATAGATTTTTACTCTTATATTACAGCGGCGGCATTCCAAATATTATTGAGAATTAAGGTGAGTGAAAAACTTTTAATATTTCTTATATAACAAGTGTAATGCATAAAACATACAGAAATTCGACAGGTTGTCACCAGGGCTTTGTCTCATATAGATTTGTAGAAGAAATATAATTAATGCAAATTGTCGTATAGAGACATTAGAACAAATAAATTACGGTATGGAGTTTATATGTACGTCCAGTGAACGGAAAAGCTTGGAAGACCCCGCGACTACTCCTACCGTGCCCAGAGTTCTTAGGGGGACCCGGTGCTCTGCAACAATTTTTGCCGATTTTATCTTTAACAATTGCTGTATCCTATATACTCCTCTCGTCCCAATTTTCGCTCTAAGGCGCTTTGCATTAGATTAATAACGAGGAATGCACCGCGATTATAGGTCTATTGTCCCATGGCGCCCTGCATACCTTCATGTTAAAGAATATAAAATTTCAATGTATTCTGTATTATGTGCTGCATACTGTGTTCAATGTATTTCTTCAATTTATTTGATTTCAATTCCTCATACCATACTTATTACAATTTAGACAAATTCTTCAATTCCATAAATAATTGCCTTCTTCATACAATTTCAATTAGCTTATAAAGTTAAGTAAACTTAAATTCAACTAATAGTAGTTTACTAAGCGTTCACTTGTTAATACTAACGACAAGTAGCATGCTTCATTGTAAATAGGGTAAACGTAGTTATGTATATTATTTATTTTTATTTTAATATAATAGTTTAAAAAGTTAGTGGTTTTTTCGGTTTTTATTTCGTGATATGGTTTCCTGCGAGTATACACGTACGCATATGCATAATTAGGTGGTTAATATATTGAAATACAATTCGATTTACAAATATTTTGATTTAATTCATTTATTATTCCAATATTTCTTTGCATGCATAACTTTTATTTGTGCACAATTTTATTTCTTATCACCCATTCGTATTCAAGGCGTCTCATTCACACGCTCGCACACAATTTCAAGTTTCATTCTTACTATATTCCTTTATTTTTTTTCACTGCGCTGTTGCCCTTGGCTAACTTTTGAACTCAAACTTAATGCATAATTTTAGAAACTGTTAAATTCGTGCTATAATATGTATCTCTCACTGATACACAAAAAAATCGTACTTATATTTAGACACATGCATAAGCAAACATTCGTTTTTAGTTTTATTACTTTTTTTGATTTGGCTATAAGGAGCTAGTCGGGTTCATTAACGCGTCGCTTCTCATACTATAACATTCTGCTCAAATATCCTCAACATACGGTTGTTTGTCGTTGCTGCTTACTGTAAAGTGATAAAATGCGCCGCCGTGTGTTTTGTTATACAACGCAGCTAAGACGGAATTATCCTCGTTGCTGCTTCCAGCTGCTGCTTCCACTGCAGCACTCTTACCACCAATGCAATCAGCAGCAAATGCAGGAAACTTTGCTTGCTGTCTTAAATATGTATTGTTCGCTTTAACACCGACAACATGATCGTGTAGCATATCTTCAGTACTGCTGTTTTCACAACTTTTGTCAACACTTCCTCTCTTCCCGCTACCCAAACGTCGTTGGTTATTGTAAAAGAGTTTGTTGTTATATTCGTTAATTACATTATTATTATTGTTGTGATATATGTTTAAATTAATGCCACAATTTATGGCTTGTTGACATTTTTTTGCTGTAAGAAAGTAAGAAGAGAGTGAGTGAATGACTTTAAGTAAGAAAATATTTGAATGCGTCCAAGTTGGAATATTTTTGTGTTTTAGATTATCAATTATAACCCAATTTGATATTTTTTTTTTGTTTTATTTGCGTTTATAGTGAAGTTTAAATTTTTGCACTTTAATTTTTCAATTTAGACCATAATTTTGATTTTTCTATATATTTTATATAGAATTTTTTGAGCTTTTGTAATAAATATTATTTACGTCTAAAATAAATAAATCTACAAGTGATTGATTTACAAAAAGGTGATGTTTGTCATAAAACTATTACTTCAGAAGTTATACGCAGTTAACGTTTTGCATCAATTGTACTGTGTTSATATGGTACACCATGTCGTATGGGGAACATGTATAAATCTCGTGCATGCATGTTCATGTGCATCCAACTGTGTATAACTTGTAAAGGAATGTTTTTATAAAAAAAAATCATTGACAGTTTTTGTAGAATAGAATTTCTACTAAAAAAATAGCTTGTTTACATTGGGTAGGCAAAATTTAAACTTCAAATGTACATATGTTTGCAAAACAAAATTGAACAAATTGAGAAATAACGGACACACTAATACATACATACATATTTGTAATTGTGTAGAATTTGCACTGACTTTTAGTAGTTCATTTTATGCACATGTATGAACGGCATGACAACAAMACAACAACAGCATGAGTATGAGCAAGAATTTAGCCAATACGAAAATGAGGTTATATTTTTTGAGAAATACAAAATAATTTACTGGCATAACAAAATGAATCCTGTGAAAGATTTATATACAAATTGTTGTATTGCTTGCATTAATATAATTAATATTTGCGGTTCACTTGCCTAAATTGGCACACAAGCGCAAGGACATTGTGTTGTTTGTTTGAAGACTTGTATGTATGTACATATGCTCTTTGTAAATTATCAACACAAGCAGTATCTAAATATGKGCACGCTAAATGGACTTTAAAGCTGAGCCAGCGTAAAAGCGCGTATTGTGCAAATGGGAAAAAACGGTCGGCTCGTCTTTCAACGTTCACTCTGAGTGCAACCTAAAGTTTTAACAAGTCATTGCTAAAATACGTGTACCAATCGTTATGTTAGTCATTTCTAGTCGCCAAACAGTTAGAAGAACAATGTCTCAATTATGTAATTTTTGGAGCGCTTGTATAAAAAAAATTACATATTTATATATTATAATAATACTTTGTCTAAAATTAGCATATTTAAATATACAAAATATAAATAAATTTCAGAATTGTGCTTTATTTGCAATTTTATAAATGTTGTAATTAAATTGTTGCCATGTGTATGCTTCTTTGCTAAAAATTTAATGTGGCTGAGATTTGACAATATTTAGTACTGTAAAAAATATTATTACATATATTTAATGCTCAAACGCTCATATGCTCATGTTAAACGTTTATAAGCATTATTTCACATACTTTTTTGCCATTCTGTATAATTAGTCACATTTTTTCAAAATTTATCAACACTTTTGCCACGACCGGTCTGCAATAGCAATTAAAGTACATACATATACGCGCGTTCAAAAAACTGAACCTTACAAATGAAATATGCTGTGTATAGAAATATGTGCCAAAAGTGTTCATAATGCATATTCTCCTATTTTAGCACAAAGTGTAATCATGCATACATTTTTATTAAATAATTTATWTGCCTTGCGTTTAATTTCACAAGCAATTTCACTTCAATTTCATTTAAGTACATTTCTGCATACAAAAAAGTTGCAGTTGCAGTTGCAAAATAATCAAATAATTTACATAAATACATATTTTACAAAAAACCATATTTACATACATACATATGTATGTATGTATAAGTATGTATATATTTATATATTGCGTTACCAGGTATTTGAGTAGTGTTTTTAGTATTGCATCTGAGGTGGTTTGGTTGCTTGTTGCTTAAAATATAATTACTAATTTCGTTCAATTATACATATTTTAATTTATAATAGAATTATACTAAGCGTAGGTACTCAAAGTTGCTCTAATATTGCATAAAAGCTAACAATAAACATAAATTAATACACCAAAACCTAATTCGTTGTAAATTTGAAAAATTAAAAAAAGTAATACGTTGTTAGTTATAAAAAATTTTAATTGTTATGTGAAATTCATGAATTTTCATTGCAATTTTTTTAAATATATTCGTTATATTTTGTGTTAATCTAATGATTTGCTAAATGGTATTTGCGCTGGGCGATATGTTTGTGTTTGGTCTAATTTAGATCATGTGCGACAATAAGCAACGACTAACACCCCGATTGGCGCGATGCAAGTGACCTTGGTAAGTATRTTGTTGTTGGTATACAACTACTGGAGGTGCTTGCGCTTCATCTTGTTGCTKATAATTGGAAGCATTAAYTACTTGCTGTTGTTGTTGTTGTTGCCACAGTTGATCGTGCTGTTGTGTTGTGTTATAGTGTGTATTACTTGTTGTATTGGTGGTTTGATTGGTGAGATTTGCTGCGCCGTTATTGACATCTACCTGTGGTTGCTGTTGCTGTTGTATGTCCTCAGTATCCATTAGACAAGACTGTGTGCCAATTTGTGTAGAGGGGAGCGAGAAGAAATCTGTAAAAACATACACACACATGTTGATAAAACACACAATATTTTATACATATAAAGAAGCATGCATTCATTGAAAGCGTGTAAGCAAAAATATAGTTTTAAACAAAAATATTTACAAATAACGGTAAAGATTAGTAAAAACAATATGGAGCAGAGGTTAAGAAAAATTTTCCATATTTCTGGCATAGGTAATTACAATATTACTAAAACAAGTCATAACACCTTATCTTGAACTGTGCGCTGCCGCCGCGCAGTCACAGTCAGCGCTGACTCACGGCAACACTGTGCAGCAGTCAACAACGCCGTAAGTTGCGTGACCCAAATGTATAAAAATAAATGTGCTGTAAACTCAAAATCAAAAAAATACACATAGTTGCTGAACAGCTTTTTTTCTTTGCCGATAAAAAATTATCAACTTTTTTGCACGCGAACGTCAGCAGCGCCGGCATCTCGCTGCTGCTCTGCAGATACCGGTCGCGCTAAGAATGTGCGGCGCATTTTTAATTAATTAGCGAGCAATTGTGTGTCGATATGTATACATTTATTATAATGGCACATTTCCATATATACATAGAATATGCATGTCTGTATATAAAAGCAAAAAGTGCAGCGCAATTTAGATAAACGGCAGAATTAGTCAAACTTCAATGTTTAGCAGAACATGACAGTTGGGGCGAAACAGTTTTTTATTTGCATTTGTCAAGCTATTTTGCATTGTRACTAACAATCAATAGCGCAAGTGGAGTGTTGGGGGTGGAGGTGGTTCTTAGCATTATTATGACAAGGTAGCTTTGCATATGTACTACATAAATGTATGTATGTATGTATATATACAAGTTTATTGCAAATGGTATTATTAATAAAAAAAATATTTTAATTATTATGGAAAGTGAATAAGTTATAAAGACACGTGTTTATATGCAAAATTTATAGATATTTACACTCTGAACAGTAAATATTAAGTTTACCACGATGTTTGTGGGARCCTAAAAGAAACGTCGGGGGCAGTATAAAGTATACAAATGAGCAGCGCGTGATGAGCTGAGTTGATTTAAACATGTCCGTCCGCTAGTATATACGCGAACTACTCCCCCAGTTTTTGATCACCATTGCCCACTATATCATTTTATTTGACGAGATATATTCACAAAACTTGGCAGGCATAATCTCCGAAAAAAAATTTCAAATCGGACCACTATAGCATATACCTGCCAAACAAACCGATTTTTTATAATCTAGTCATTGTATGGAAAACTTTTTTTTTTTTGGAAGGGATATCTTCTTGAAATTTGACATAGAATATTTTCCAATGTAACGGTACAATATCCGAAGAAATTGCTCACATCGGACAAATACTTGTATAGCATATGTAGATATGTAGATGCCATACAAACTGATCGGTCTAAATCCAGCCCTGGTATGGATTTTTTTTTATTTGACAAGATATCCTCACAAAATTCGGTTTTTAGATTATTGTTCAAAGCAACGGTAAAATCACCGGAGAAACTTTTCAGCTCGGATTACTAAAGCATATACATAGCTGCCATACAAATTGATCGATCAAATCAAGATAATGATCTTTTCACTTTTTTATACTAGAAAAAATCCATATGTGAAAGGTATTTATCTTGGGTGCAGCCGTAATTAACGGTTTTATTGTTTCATATACATACATACATGTGGACTTAAAAACTATTGATATACTTCCTTTACTCTACATACATTCACCTTTGTGGTATAATAAATAAATCAATATTGTGCAATAATCAATTAGTCTTACTAACAATTTCTTTCCTATACTGATATGAAAATCTTTTGCAAAGAAAAAAAGTATAATACTCAAACACGTAAAGTTATTTACTTTAAATTAACTTATAAACAGACAATTCCCACTTTAACTATAAAAAAAAATAGTTTTAACAAACAAGTGAAACTATCTTATATTTTTTTTAATAAAATTGTGTCGGGCCTCCACTATCTGCATGAAATTGTTTTTGTACTATGAACTATGTGCGCACGACAAATAAAAAAAAACACACGGCAAAAATTTCTATTAAATGCTTTTTGAGGGGGCTCATCAAAGCCATCAACTTAAGAGTTGTTCCTACATATGTACATATGTATGAATGTATGCATACATACAAGGTGCTGACACAATACTAATTCCCAGCCATGCATAAACGCTTGAACGAGTCATTAAAATGTTTAATATAATATACATATACATACATATATTAGGTGAACGAAATAACCGTATGTACATACATACATATATACATATTTATGTTTGAATGGAAATATACCATTTAAAGCTATTTTTAAGCGAAATTTCATGATTGTACTTAGAAACAAAACCGAAACCAGAAGAATGTCAGAAATTTAATTTTTCTTCAGTCCGGGTCAAATTTGATCATATGTTAAAATTTTGTGTTTTTGTTTGAAAAGTTTCTACAAATTTGAAACCAGTGTGAATGCTTGTGCGAATTTTTTATTAAGTTATTAATTTTTGTCAGTCCGGGACAAATTTGATCACATGTCAAGATTTGCATTTTGGTTTGAAAATTTTTAATAAAATTGAAATCAGTGTGGAAGATTATGTGATTTTTTTATTGTTAGTATTTTTCTGTCAGTCCGGGTCAAATTTGTTTAGATGTTAAGATTTGCGTCTTACTTTAAAATTTAAAAAAAAATTTGAAATCAGTGTGAATGCTTATGTGAATTTTTATTTCGTTTCATATTTGATCAGCTGCTGAGACTTGTGTTTTGGTTTGAAATTTTTTAACAAACTTCAAAGCAGTGTGAGCTAAACAGTTTTTTTTAACAAAATTGAAATCAGTTGTGCGTAGACGAAGTTCTTATTGCTTGTTGGGTTATTTGTTGTCTAATCATTAAAAAACGCTGATGGTTTATACTTTGTTTCGGCCTTGCTAGACTAGCGGCTGGCAAACCATTAGGCAATATGCCGTTGTAACATAAAGCACCTACAACGTGGATTATATTAAATGTAATGCTTGTAATTTTCCACAATACAAATATAAAATAAAATATAGATAAGCCAGTGATTGGGCAACACATTTTCGTTGAAGGAAACGTAAAGTGTATAAATTACGGCAGCGTGTTTAAAAGAAACAGTGGGAAACTCAATAAAAAAAAATAAATAAATAAAAAATTAATGAAAAAAAAATTAATAAAAAAAAAACTAAAATAAAAAAATACTACTAAAAAATACAACTAAAAAAAATACTACTAACTAAATAAAAAGTCGTTTAAGTTTACACTGACTTCGATTTTGTTAAAAATTTCCAAACTAAAACGCAAATTCTAACATCTGATCAAATTTGACCCGAACTGACAAAAAACAGCTAAATGATATTAATGTGTTATTAAAATATTTTGCATCTCTACATTCTTTATACATTGAACATGGTATATTTTCTTCCTAGAAGATCGTTAAGATCGGACTGTTATAACATAGCTGTCATACAAACTGACCAATAAAAATCAATATAGACCTTTTTGTACTATTTTAAGCATAAAAAAGCACCCATGAAGGGTTGCTTGGATACAGGCAAAGTTAAGACCTTTTCTTGTTTTATTTCAAAGCGAATTATTATTATTTAAAATACTAAAACAAATTTATTAACAAAATTGACATTCAAACATGTGAAAATGTAATTTAATTAAGTTTAGTGCCACTCGTAATGGAATTCATAGCAAGCAGAGTACTGTTTTTTCATACAAACATACATACATACACATATGTATGTGTTTATAGTTTACTCACTTGACCTCTAAATTAACGCAGAAAATAAACATGTCTTCAAGTTCTCCCACAATTACAAAAACAATAGGAATACAAAAACAACTAGCCGTTGCAATAAACACGTACAGCAAAATGAAAGCAAATAAATATAAACACAAGCCATGGAAAGCAAACAAAAAAATCCAATAAGAATAACAACAACAATACGTGGTAAGCAAAATACAAGATAAAAACAAAATAAAACAGAAATGTCGTAAATAAACACTAGAAAAAGAATAAGGTGAATGAAATTACCATTACAATACTGCGCGGCAGCATAGTCATCGTCGTAGCGGCAGCGCTTGGGAGCGCAACCATCCAAACCGGCAACTGCGACGTCCCGTACGCCAACGCCGCTGTCGCAACCGTTGAGCAATGCACAGTTGGCGTAATCATCGTCGCTCACAAAGTAGCGCTTCTTGCGGCGCTGTGTGGCAACTAGATCAGCAGCTGCGCCAGCGGTTGCAGCGCCAACATCCATGTCCGTGTGCATCATCGGCAGCATGCCATTGACATCATTTGCATTTGGCACACTTGTGTTATTATTGTTGTTATAATTAATATTCGTATTATTGGCGTCGTGTGTAATGCCGTTGTGCTGATGGTTGTTACCTAGTTCATGGGCTGCATTCACATAGGAGAATCCATAATAACCGTTGGAGGAAATGTGTGACACAGGCGATGTGCCTATATCGACGGGGTTCAAGCGTTGCTGCACCACACGTGGATTAAACATGTCCATGTGCCGAGAATTGACCGGCAATTCATCATTACCAATAACTGCGCCGCCACCATGTGCCCAGCACTCAAAGTTCGTCAGCACCATTTTCGATTTTCCCACAACAAGCACAAAGTAGATGGTCCAACTGTATGAACTGTACAAGTCCAAAAAGTGAAGTCAGCAATATAGCGTATATATGAATTGACGCAGCTGCGTTGTAGATGGAAAATTCCCAAAAAATGTGCAAGGCTTCCTCTTCCCTCCAAATTTGTGTACTACTGTACCGCACGTTAATTCTATAAAAGACACAAGAGTGCATAAAAAACAATTATACACTAATACTTATAAGTAGAAAATTAAAACAAAAATATTCAACAACAATTAATTGCTTTATTTTTGGCCGTTGACTTCGTTTATTTTTTCGCACAATATTGTTGTTGTTCTGTCTTTGGCAATTAATTGATGTCAACGACGCTGACGCGAGCTTCGTAATCAAACACACACCGCATATACCGCTACCAATATCGCCGGTTCCCCCACCATTTATATACACTTGCCAGCACTTAGAAACAAACACAAACATACTTGCACTCAACTCTTTGCTATTCACATCCAGCCGCCGGTCATGCGGCCCATTTGAAATTACATTATTAAATCATTTCAGAAATAAAAACACGTTGATGCTGATGGCAGCAGTTAAAAATAAATATATACATATTAATAAGAAAGGCACGAATACACTTAATACCAGTTGGAATCGGAAAAAATCCATTTATTTACTTTTTACCGTCTCCTTACCTAAGCGTCTTCTCTACACAAAGTGCACACACTCGCAAACGAACATATATCCGGCTGCGGGACGCGGTAGGTAGGCGTGTATAGTGTATGTAGTCGGTCCCCATTAGGTTTTTACACGTTTCTCTTACCTTTAGACGTTTTTCCACCGATTCAATATACTTGTTGTAACACGTTTATTTCTTGAGAAAAACAACCACTCGCGACGACTTTTCAAATTTCACTGAATTGTTTGGTTTCCAATTTGACATCGAATTGTACGAAAACAAAGTGCGACTAACACAGGGTTGCATTAATGGGAATAATAAAAAAGTTCGCGAAGGCGGAGATTTTTCATTTATTAATAAAACATTTTTCAGCAGCTCATTAAATGTATAAATTGAATTTAATTTACTAATTAATACATTGAAAATCGAAAAAAATTTTTAGCGAAGTTATTTAAGTAAAAATTATAAATTTTCGAATTTCATTATTTAATTATAATTTTAATTAATGTCTTTTTTGTACATATTTTTGTTAGTACTATTTTTTATGAGTATTTTTTGTTACATAGAAAATTTAATTTTTTTAGGCTAAAAAATATAAATTGGAAAACCTTTAATAATTTCTTATTTAACGGAAGCATTGCCTGCACGTGGCAGCAGGGAACGTTCTCTGGCAGAACATGTACTACTGCGCCATCTACTGCTGTAAATGTGCAATAAACAGAGAACGTACGTTCATAAATATACGTTCTCTGCAATAAATTGAAATATGTCTGTGTGGTTGCCGGCATTGCTGGACTATGGTTGTGAATCGCGAGTGATAGTGAGCTTTTATAAGAATTTTAAGTCTTCCTAAATCATTATTAAAACCTTTGCATACTTTAAGGCGGTTCAAAAAGTTTGTGCGAATTTGTTCTGCGATTTAATAATATTTGTTTCACATATGCTTACTTTTACAGATCAGCCTTACGAATTTTATAATTCAAAAATTTTGGATTCTTCTTCTTCTTTATTGGATTAGAAATTAAAAAAATGATATTCTTACCAGATTTTTAATTAATTTTAAAATTTTTTTAAT